GGGAGCGGTGCCCGCGGCCGCCGCTCACCTGGTCGGAGCTCACGGTCATGGGCTCCTTGAGCAGCAGCCACACGATGCACTCCTCACAGGGCGGCGTCGTGAAGGAGCCGTGGTAGGTCCAGTAGTCCCGGCAGGCGGGGAACAGGCAGGACGGGTCGAAGCGCGTGAAGGGCGCATCCTTGCCCTGCAGGGCGCACGGGGCCAGCAGGTGCGTGAGTGCGGCCCGCCCCCCGCACCGCCTCACTGGTGAGAGCGCGTTCAAATGCAGCGGAGGAAAGGGAACTTGTAAACAAAGCGCCTTTCAGAGACGAAGGGCGGAGCGGGAAGGGAGCCGGTCCAAGCTCTGACTGGACCGCAGAGCCGCGTGACACGGTGCCCCTCATTAACCGTCCCTAGGACTGTTTAGTTCTGCCACTTCTCAGCACAGAGGGGAAAAGCAAATCTAAACCGCAACCCAGACATCTCACGTAGTTGGTGCTTTGGTTCTCGATTACAAGACAGGCTGGCTCCGTTATCGAATATCGATTACTGGTGATAAAATGGACTAGCATTTGATTAGAACTGTCCCACAGACAAGTACATTGAGTTTGTCAATTAGAAGAGTCTACTGGTAAGATGACAAATGCCGGGGAGAGAGGGTGACCCCAGGAGCAGACGCGTACCACCTCTGTGAGTGTGTGCGTGCGCGCGCGTGTGTGCACGCCAGGACCCAGACATGCACTACCTCTGTGAGTATGTGTGTGTGTGTTGTGTGTCTGTGTGGCGCGTTGTGTGTGTGCATGTGTGCTGCATGTATGTCCCTATGTGTCGGTACATATGTACATGTGGTGCGCCGTGTGTGTGCATGCATTGTGTGTGTGCATGCGGCGGGCGTGTGTGCGCATGCGGGGTGTGTGTGCATGCAGTGCAGTGTATGTGCATGCAGTGCATGCGTGCATGGGGTGTGTGCGTGCATGGGTGTGTGCACATGCGTTGTGTGTGTGCATGCAGTGCGATGTGTATGTGCATGCAGTGTGTATGTGCATGGGGTGTGTGCACATGCATTGTGTATGTGCATGCAGTGTGTGCATGCATGGGTGTGTGCACATGCGTGGTGTGTGCACATGCGTGGTGTGTGTGCATGCAGTGCGGTGTGTGTGTGCATGCAGTGTGTGTGCATGGAGTGTGTGTGTGCATAGGGTGTGTGCGTGCATGGGGTGTGTGTGTGCATGCAGTGCGGTGTGTGTGCATGCAGTGTGTGCGTGCATAGGGTGTGTGCGTGCATGGGGTGTGTGCGCATTAGGTGTGTGTGCATGCGGTGTGTATGTGCATGCAGTGTGTGTGTGCATGGGGTGTGTGCGTGCATGGGGTGTGTGTGTGCATGGGGTCTGTGCACATGCGTTGTGTGTGTGCATGCAGTGCGGTGCGTGTGTGCATGCAGTATGTGTGTGCATGGGGTGTGTGCGTGCATGGGGTGTGTGTGCGCATTAGGTGTGTGTGCATGCGTTGTGTGTGCTGGGGTGTGTATGTTACTTAGAAGGGCGAGAGAATGCACACACGCCCCATGCACACACCCCATCCCCATCTGTGGGAATCAGCCACTCAACTTCTCTCTCATCCACTTCATTGAGAAAGTCATTCTCTAGAAGACTGTGAGGATTCAAGAAGCTAATGTGTGTGAAATTGCTCTAGCAACTACAAACCATACAACTATAACAGCATTTATTTTCATATATACGCTCAACATATTCATCAAACTTAGTAACAGATTTTAGGTGAAAGAAATACACTTGAAATGTAAAGAGAAAAAAAATGACACACTGCTTTCTATTCTCAGAGAGAAAACGATGTTTTTACCTTGGTCTTAACTTTGTCCAGTGCGTCAAGGAGCAGCTGGAACTCGCCTTTCTCACGCCCTATCTACAGGAAAACAGAAAACCAATCATTATGTTTCCCTTCTCCATAATTTTGAGTTGTCTTAAAAACTGATTTTGATCCATCCATCTGCACCTAGTGTTTATAAATCTGCCAGAAAATTGTGCACTAAGCAAAAATATAAGTTTATTTCCTCCCTCTCAAAATTTTAGGGTATAGATTTTCTGAACTAAACTTGGACTCCAGGCCTCTGAAGTACAAAACCACGAAATTACATGTTCATCTATTTCCATGTCCTTGACCTCTGCAAAGTCCTTCCACTTTTCCACTTTTTCTTTCTTTCTTTCTTTTTTACAGAATTCGAGCTAGGATGGACTCAATGTATCTAAAACTAAACTCCTCGTCTCTCCATTCAGACCCACCCCACTTCCCGGTGTGCTGTGTTCAAGGCCAGAAAATGGTCCAGTGAGTTAAGGACATGAAACAAAGTAGGTCATTCAAGAAGAAAGAAGCTGGATTTTCACCTCTGGCTTAAAATCTAGATTATGTTACTAGTAAATTCATGTGTTAATGACACTAAGTCCCCTCTAAACCGAGGCTGGCTCAACAACACACACATTCCAAGTGCTGTCTTATCCGGGGTCATGTGAGCGAGCGGTGGCCGCCCTAAGCCACAGGGATGTGCAGCCAGGCGCCGCACACCACGGTGGTTCCCAGCATTGTTTCTTTCTGGTTTCCAGGGCAATGGAAATGGAAAAATGGGAAAGGATCACGAAAATGCTGCCCTCGCCCTCACCACCACCGTCATGAGCTCCTTCGAAGACTCTTGTCCCCAAGCCACCCACACGCACACATGCTCTCACAGAGTGCCACATCCCGAGAACCGTCAGCAGTGCTGGGGGGCCCGGAGCGTGGCAAAAGGGACTTTTTTTTTAAGGGAAAGCAAAACATTTGGAGCTGATCTTAGCAAAAATATCTCGATTAGTTGAATGAATAATGAAATCCATTACTTTCTCCCCTTCAAACAAAAGGAGGACGTGACTCTCATGCTACCCTGAGCACTGATAAGAAAGTAAATTTGGAAAGAACACGTATGGTCAATTTTTGCCTTACCTTCAGAAAAATGCCAACCACAGCTATCCCGTCAGGTTGCTTCAGAGCTTCTCCAAATGTGTTATACTTCGGGTTCCAGTGGACCAGATGCAGCTGCAAACACAGAATACAGATGATGAGGTACATTCCTAAAACGAGAAAACTGTCAGATTATTCACCATAAACCCAGGAATTATATTGTCTGAGGCCCCTAACCACTCTCCTAGAAGTCGACAGCATTCTATTAGCATCCCCTATTTTGGTGACATTTTTAATGGTTCAAATAAAGGTTTAGAACTTTAATAAACAATGAACGAAAGTTGAACTTTTTGTTAAACCAATTCAAAAGATTTTAGTTTTGCATAACATTACTCCTTTTTTTCTGACCAAATCTAACAGTGAAACACAGCTATACGCAGGAACCTGCTAATATCCTAAAGTCACAATTAATTAGGAAAAAAGGGAGGAAAAATAAGGGGGAAGATTCTTGAACGTTTTTGTATCTGCCTCCTTTAAGCAGCCCGTGGTAACCTTATCTTAATTTAGAACACAGACTCCCGTTAAATTAGTCAAATGTTCCATAATGAGTTACTTAGAAGGGCAAGAGAATACAACAGTCCATAGCGGTTAAAACTATTTCATGCCGGATCAGAAGTGTGAGATAGCGCCATGCACAGAGGTGGAACTGTGAGCCTCGCCCACGTGTGTAAGGAGCACACTCAGCCTCGCCGGCCGGTGGGGAACATGGCTAGGAGCGTTCGCAGTAACAGTCAGTCTAGCAACCTAGCCTGCCCCTGGCTCTCCGGCTGGCCTGCGGAGAGATGGAATGATCTCGGGAAGCGTTGTGAATCTTCCAGAGTCAGTTTGAACAGCAGGGAAGCTGCCTAAGAGAGTCCCACAGGGCCCCCAGGCTGCCGTCACAGCCTACCTCCGGGGCTTGTCACCTCTCAGAGACTCGGGTTTCTGGCGGGACGTGCAGGGGGCTTATCTTATTTCTCTGTCATTTGGGTCCTTGATCTGAGCTACAAGTCATGCTTTTTTCTTTTAATGGGTTACCTGACACAAAGAGTTTCGTGTGTGTGCGTGTTAAGTCTGTGTGTGTGTGTATGATCACACGCGCCCCCGTCTATAGGCACACCTGTCACGAGGAGACAAGAACATGAGCCTTCACCCACTTACTGGATGTCATTCACTGTTAAAGCAGCACATTCTTGTTTGAGGCGGCATAGGGCACAGGTGGCTGTGACACCTGCGAAGCCCTTCTGCGTAGGCAGAGCCGCAGGCCTGGCACTGTCCGCCGGGTGACTTCCTAACGGGACTTTTCTGTGCCTCGGTTTCCCCACCTGTGGCCTGTCTGTAGAGCTGCCAGAGGCCCCAGAGCTCGGCATAAGCGTTACCCGCCAGCCTGGAACGCTCTGCGGCTTCATCTCGCCTGGACCCAAAGACTCCAGCTCTTCCCACGCTGCAGGCCGGGAGCAAAAGCGGCGCATGCGGCTTGGCGAGAGTTCAGTTTTCACCGTGCGGGACCCGGAGTGGGCGACAGCGGTGCCACCTACCTCGGCGGCGAACTTGACTCCGTCCACGGTGTGCTCGGAGCCGTGGTCGTCCGCGGAGCCCCAGTGCAGGTGGAACTGGCGGAGCCGGTAGGGCCCGCTGAGAGGCCCGCCCCGCAGCACTGCGCGGGGAGAGGCGGGGTCAGCGCGCCCTGCCCCGACCCACGGCGCCCCCAGGGCCAAGGTAACGCCGCGGGGGCCCAGTCTGCGGGCGAGGGCCGGGCGCGCTGGCCTCCCTCACAGAACCAAGTCCCTGGATGAAGGCGAACGAATGGTTTCTCCTTTCTGCCTTATTCGTTTGCTCGTTTTATTACTCTCAAAACGTCAATGTCACGTATGCGAAAATAAACGTAGGAGGGCAGGTGGGCAGTTAGGATGTAGACAAACCACGTGTGCGCCAGGCGCGGGGTGCAGTGGCAGGAACGTGGGGGACGAGGGACTGTAGGTTCCGGTCCCCTCACGCCCCGTGGTGCTCGTGTGTCCTCGGGCAGGTGGCTAAACCCTTTTAAATCCGTTTTTGCATCTTTAAGAAGGTGATGGTAATACTAACCTTTCGGAGCTGCTGTGAGGATTGAACGGATGAAGGACTAGCACGGGGGTCACCGCGCCCAGCAGGCAGCGGCCGAGCCGGTGCCAGCTCCCTCTCCGAGTCTTGCCATCAACACACTTTCTTGAAGACCAAGTGAGAGCCTTAGTCCACGTCTATTTTAGACTAAGTCTGTTGGGCTCAGATGGGACGCGGGGAGTTAGGGATTCCAGGCAATGGATCCGTGTGGACGGATGAACTAGGGGATTCTCGGGAGCACTGATTTGACCTTGTTGCCCAAACACCTTGACCCTGTCGCTTAACTTGGTTTCACTCCAGCCAGCCCGGGGTCACATATTTTCTAAAGGATAATGGAAACTATGCAGAAATCTTAAATGCAAGATTTCACAATTTAAGCTAGATCGAAATAGAATCCATCAGGTAGCTATTCTAGAAAGGGCTGAAATGCTCGCTGAGGGCCACAGGACACCCTCACACAGCAGAGCACATCTCCCATGAGCTCCGTCATGCAGAAATGACTGGTGTGATTTATTGCATTTTTCTGTGGGACCACTAGGGACATTTATTATCTGGACATGTGCATCCAGTTTATTAGGATGAACCCTATGAAACTGTCAATAGTCAACCGTTTTGCTTACAAAAAGAAATGAGATTTTGATGTTGTCTAACCTAATAGATACTGTTTAACTTTGTTGTTTATCCTTCAAAATGGAACTTGATTTAAATGGAAAGGGGAGAAAAAAGCAACAGTAACATGAGATCATTAAGAAAACACATGTGCATCCAGTTTATTAGGATGAACCCTATGAAACTGTCAATAGTCAACCGTTTTGCTTACAAAAAGAAATGAGATTTTGATGTTGTCTAACCTAATAGATACTGTTTAACTTTGTTGTTTATCCTTCAAAATGGAACTTGATTTAAATGGAAAGGGGAGAAAAAAGCAATAGTAACATGAGATCATTAAGAAAACATAAATTTCTATGCTATTCCTTCCTCGAAACCTCCTCGCAGGTTTACGGCATCATTGAGGAGATTCACTTACTACATCCTAAGGATAATTTTAATGTTTTTACAGATGGAGTCATAAAATGGATTATACATCTAACACCACCATATTCAAGGAAGATCCTTATTTCATTCACAGTGAAAAAAAAAAAGCATTTCTAACTAGCCTCCTTTTATTTCACTGATTTGCTTAATAGTGTAGGTAAAATGAGATTTTTTAAAACATGTGGTTTTTCACTGTCTCTCACACACACATCATCATCATCATCATCATCACCGCCCAAGAAGAAAGTGCTGGATACTTCAAAAACACTCACCAAAAGGATTAATCAGATACCCCCCCACACCCCCAAACACCAGGGCCTGACTCCTTCCCTGTCTGCCCAGCCTCGGCCCCACCCACGGGGAGTGGACGGGGAGTGGACGGGGAGTGGACGGAGCCACCTGCTCTGTGTCTTTGCCACTTCCTTGCTCTGTGAAATGCATCACTGTGACTTGGGAACAAAGCCTTGCTCTCCAGACCGTGATTAAGAAGCACAGCGACCCCCCCCGCCCCCCCCGCGGGCCATCGGAGCCTGGGGACACTCACTCGCCCTTACTGCCACCACTTGCCTGTTGAGCGCCATTTCAGGAATGCGCTGCCACCTTTAGCGTGGCATAGGGCCACGTCACAGAAGCAAAGTGACCAAGGCTGGACCGCTTTGAGACATGCTTCTTCGGTGCATAAATGCTATTCTCACGACTAGAGCAAAGTCAAGTGTCGTCTCCATTTTCAGAGATGAAGTGTCCCTGCTCCCCACCGTCACTTTTGTCAGTAGGGACTTCGAAACGCCCATGTGCTCTACCCAAAGGTCATACTTACTTGACCGATCAAAAGTATCATCAAACACGACCCTGCAGGTCTTCCCGTTGTTCAGGATGGTCTTGCAGGAGCCCGGGTCATAGGACACGGAAAAGGGCAGCAGCGAGGGGTCGTGCTTGATGTCCTTGGTGTGCAGCTCGATGGGTGACTGGTTGTTTCCTTTGGCGATCGGGTAATGCTGGTGCCAGTGGTCCGGGCCTAGGAGATCAAGGTGAGGGGACTGATTGATTTGGGGGCGCCGCCCAAACCCTCCCTCTGATTGTGGGCCCTGTGAAAAGCTCCGGGATGCCCCGCAGTGCAAAGCTTGGCGTTTGGGACCCGCACACAGGTGACCCCTCCCCTGGCTCCAGAATGCGGCCTCAAAGGCTTCCTCTGAAATGGACTTATCCCCGTTTTCCCAGCGCCCCCCTGGGGCGGAAGCACTGACACCTGTGGTTTGCAGAGCCGCCCACGCTCCCTCCCCGCCCGCCAGCCCGCGGCGCAGGCGGGACACCGGGCCGGGAGCGGAGCGCTGCCCAGCGCCACGAAGCCAGGGCCCGTGGGAGCGGCCCTCCTGGCCTGACACTGTGGTCCTGGGCCAGTGACCCGGCCTCTCTGCGCCTGTCGCCCCACGAGTAGTGAATGACAGCTCCGCGCCCGCGGACCGCCGGGACGGAGGCTGCTGAGCCTCGTAAACGTCGCGCGCCCCGGACCCCGCGCCCGCCCCTCG